GACAGTTGGAGTCCTGTACTGAGTATGGCAAGGTTTTTGCCATGTTCCCCAAGCCCTCTTTTGAAACTGCCAGAATTTTACTTATTTTTTATTGTTTCTCATAAATATAAAAGTCATTTTCTTGATTTAGCTTTAATTAGCTTCTTGAATTTTAAGAAATGTGTACAATTTTATGTGTGATTTTTGTCATATGGTGTCCTTAAATCATTTTGCCTCATCTTTATCATTCACATAATAATATTTACTTAATATTTATATATATAATTCACCTAATCTTGTTCCTGTTTTAAGTCTTTAAAATTTATGCAGAAATAATTTCTACAAAAGTCAGTGGAATGTTTATAGGGCAGCAGTTTTGGAGGCTTTAGTGCTAGTAAAGTGCTTTTTGGATTTAGATAGTTCTCAGTGTAGATAACTGATTTATAATTGAATTTTTGTCTAGGATTAAAGAGAGTTCAGGAATTGCTTGTATGTGTGTAATTTTTTCCCCATGTATAAAATCAAAACTGCAAAGGGCAAAGATTTTTACCTGCACAAAACCTTATAAATCAATTAAGTTATAAATAAGTTAAGGTGCTTACAAATGCAAAAGTTGATTTTTTTGCTTGCATAATTCATTATATATGATATTAAAATGTACTACATTCCTTTTTAAGTTACATAAGTACTGTTGTTTCCGTTATTTGCTACTAGTTTTAATAAACCTCCCTATATGTTCTTTTATTTTTTTGTTCTTTATGCAAACTGCAGAGCTCTTTTTATTAGAATTATGTGTAACCAAGCCATATTTAACTGCATGGCATGTACATTAAGCTGAGAGGAGAATGAGCCCAAATGCAAGAAGGGGAAGGCAATAAAAATTATGTTTACGTAGCCAAGATCATCCTCAGTATTTCAGAAAAGTTATGAAGAAGTGGTGGTTCCAGAGTTTCTGAATCACTGCTAATGTGCAAGGATGGTCTTAGGATGCCAACTTACACCAGAAAACATTGAAAAAATTAATTACATAGACGTATATTCTGTTTCACACATACCAATGTAAAACTTTTCATTTTTGAAAATATCGATTAGAATTTAAATAAAATTGCCTTAATTTGGGAGAAATGTATCCCATATTCCAGCCTAATTCTGTAGATTAGGTTTATAGAAGTGTATCCCTTATTACAAGATACCTTTAACACAAATAACAATAGCAAGACACAAAAAACTGGTGATACTCCTTTGAGACAGTGGCTGCACTGGCTGTCCTCAAGAGAAAGAGGCATTTCTAATTAAACAGATTTTCTTCTCTTCAGCAGATTTAGAGCATGTGTGTGGGAGAGTACAGGAAAAATAAGAATATGGAGCATCCCTATTGGACAAGCAAAATTCCATTTGCATGACATTGGAAGAGACCAGTGTAGGAGATAAACATGTTTATCAACGCTAAATGTTCTCTCGTTTCATGATAGCCCAGACACAGCAAGTTAACAGTTGTAACCCTCTAGAGCAGGGGTGTCCAACCTTGGCAACTTTAAGACTTGTGGACTTCAATTCCCAGAATTCCTCAGCCAGCAAAGCTGGCTGAGGAATTCTGGGAGTTGAAGTCCACAAGTCTTAAAGTTGCCAAGGTTGGACACCCCTCCTCTAGAGAGTGAAAGATTCCATTACCTGAGCATTTTGGATATTAACAGTTCCAACCAATCTAACAGAGAGGGAGACTATTTTTATTGAGTGAGTGACTGAGATACCCTGCTATTTTGCAGCTGAACTTGGGGATTATGATCCCATTGAGCACATCCCGGAGATAGTGTCAGAATTCAGATTTGTGCCCAGCCAAACTGAGGAGATGGAACTGGCCATTTTTGAGAAGTGGAAGGAATACAGGTAACTTAAGTCCTGGACTACAAATATCCACAAATTGCCCCTCCTGTATAATCTTTGTACTTGTATGCATTATTTTCTATCCATTGTGGCGTGCTATTGAGTTTTATTTTAATATTTAGGTTAAACTGGGATTTCGTCAAAATTTGTAGATCTGTAATTGATCCCTACAAGAGAGACCATAATGAGTTAATAATTATTTCAAATATTTAGACAATTACATAGAATATAATGTCTTTTTGTGATAATATTTATGTCACAGTAGTATGTTTACTAGCTTTATCTTTAATTTCTTTTCAGTTTTCACCAGAGTTTCCCCAGGATAGGGATCAAGAATCTGAATGGCCCCAAAATACAGAGTAGTTAGGGTCTGTACTTAAAAGCCAGATAAAGAAGAAGCTGTTTTTCGATCTTATGCCATTTACATTTCTCTATGGAGCAAATACCAATGATCTTAAAACCATCTGGTATTTTTTAAACACCAGTCCACAAATTTAACATATCTGAATTTATCAGAACAACTGGACAGGTTTCCACAGATTAATTATGCAATGTAATACTTTCCCAGTCCTTACATTTCTAAGCAAAATAAGCATCTACAGCCCTGGAATATGATTAACATTTGAATTAGAAGGTATTCTTTAGTTTGTCCTCCTGGGCACTTTTGAAATTATGTGTCGTCAGTTTTCTCTGTAAGGATTTTATAGTTTTGCTGTAATTTTTATGTTAACATATATTATTTCAGGGGTCAGTCACCAGCTCAGGCAGAAACAAACTATTTGAACAAAGCAAAATGGCTCGAAATGTATGGAGTAGACATGCATATAGTAAAGGTAAAATTGTGGTAACAAATCTTTTGAGAAATGGGTTATATTGTTAATATTGAAAAAACACAATTCAGGTGTAAGAAAATTGGGGTGGGGGGTTTGTTCCATCATGATACTATTGCTATATCAGATTATCTGTCTCGCAAGACATCACAAATCTCTGAATGTTAGGAGGCTCTCCAGAATAGATTTGGTGGGATGCTGCACAAAGGAAAAAAGCCATGTAACTACCAGTTAAAGCTCTTTCTAATGTATCCCAATAGAATGTACTATTGTACTGTTGGTTATAACAGTACATTTAATACAATCATCTGTGCCTAAAAGCTGTTTATTTGTTTCTGACTCTGAAAGCACACATAATGAATGTATTAGTATAAACCAACACTTAATGTTGTAAGGGTTTGATGGAAAATATGATGGAATCCATAGGGGTTTTCTTTTAAGAAATAATATCTAACTGGTAACCATTTTAAAGGAAGGACAAATCACAAAGCTAGCTAGAATCTCTCCACATAAGTAATATGGCGCCATGGTGGCATGGTGCTTAGAATGCAGTATTGCAGGCTAATTCTGCCAACTGCCAGGAGTTCAATTCTGACTAGCTCAAGCTTGACTCGGCCCTCCATTCTTCCAAGGTCAGTAAAATGAGGACCCATATTGTTGAGGGAAATGTGCTGACTCAGTAAATCACTTAAGAGAGGGCTGTAAAGAACTGTGAAGTGTTATAGAAGTCTAAGTGCTATTGCTATTTACATTGTTTTCTTCCCCATTCCATTCTCTGCAACATAGTTACGGAAAGATTTCAGTGGTAATACCATTGTAATAAATAATTTAAAATGCAAAGATAAAATATTATGAAAAGTACAGATCATCCCTAAATGTTCTGTTGGAAAGCAGGGAATTTAGTGGAACAGATTGTTCACTCACTAGGTCATGTGTTAATTTAGATACAGTGTGTGTGACTCATTTTGCTGCAAAATCGTAGCAATAAATAGAAGAATTATTATATTAAGAAAATCTGTTAAAATCATACCTGAAGGAATATTTCAACCTAATTTTAATTATTATTAGGCAAGAGATGGCAACGATTATAGCCTTGGATTAACACCAACAGGTGTCCTTGTATTTGAAGGAGATACCAAGATTGGATTGTTCTTTTGGTAAGTTGGATAACCTATATATCTATGGCTAGACTGCCAAGAAAAACTTGAGCAGTCCCAAAGTCACAGTGCCAGGATCATGAAACCTTTGGGGAAACCTTGAAAAGTTACTTCAAGATATATCTATCATGGGGGAAGTCAGTGGGAGACAACACAATCCTTACTAAAGTACTACACTTAGCCTAAATATATGAACAGTAAATAGGCCTATCAACCACAGAATGCTCTGATCTGTAAATCAACAGAAATAAGAGTTAATAAGCATAGAGGGGAGAAGGATATGAGGGACAGTTAGTAGTAAAAACTACAGGAGAAAGGGGGCATTTCTTCAGCCTTGAAGTGCATAATATCCATATCTAAGTTGAAATCAATTTGATGGAATCAACTTGCATACATTACTTTAGAGTTTATATAGTCTTAACTCTGAGTAAGGCTTTTGGTGAAGTTTATAGCAACTAACACATTTTATGTTGGTATCCTGTATGACATAATCAGGATGACATTTACAAAGGAATATATCAAATAGCAAATTTGAGAAATAAGTATTGATGTGTGTGTTTAAATAATTTATTTGACATAACTGCATCTCATTTGGATTGTGCAGAATTGATGTAAATGTTGGGGGGAAAACTAGGGCACATTAGGATAGATATTATTTGGGTTTATTATCATGGAAAACTGGGATATATGTGGTAATTGTGGCATTATTTGCATAAAATGGTTTACAGCTTCAAGTGAATGAATAAAATGAATAAATACATCTAATAGTTAACCTTTAACATTGGTTAACACTGGTATTTAGATTTAAAGCATCTTTTAATTGTAAGTGTAAGATTTTTTTTAACTCTTACATTATCTCAAGGAAATGTTCTTTCTATTACAAATACTTCTTCCAACTTTTTTTCTTTTTACTCTATGAATAAATTGTAGTAAAAATATACACACCATTTTCCCTATTGCAGGCCAAAGATTACTAGATTGGACTTCAAAAAGAATAAATTAACACTAGTGGTGGTTGAAGATGATGAACAGGTAAAAGAAAAAAATCTTCCTCCCCTGATCTTCTATGGAAAGTAATGTCTCTGAAATTAAACTTATTTTAAACTTATTTTTATTAATGTTATGCCAGATGTATGTACCTTATGGTCACTGAATCAGTTGAATCAACACCATAGGTTTGCTCTCTCTTCTGAATGGAGAGTTGAAAGTTCTCATATTTTTCTGTATCTAAGACTAATCTATGGGAACCTTTTTAAAATATTGCCTCATTCTGAGGATTGGATGATAAGAAAGATATTTTTGGTGTTGCCCCCTTGTTCTTGGATATTTTCAAGGGGGCATGTGTGTCATACATACATCTCTACTTACCGTATTTATCGGCGTATAACACGCACTTTTTTCCCCCCTGAAAATAGGGGGCAAATGATGTATGCGTGTTATACGCCGATATAATGTTAAGAAGCCTTCGGTGAATGCTGCTGGGATCGGGGATCAAGGACACAAATGAAAGAAGGGGAGGGAGGAAGCAACCGAAGCCTGTCCTTCTCTCTGGGTCAGCTCTCTCAGTTGCTCTCTCGCTCCTCCACCAGCACAGGAAGAAACTGCTTCAAAGAAGCCGGGGGGGGGGCTTTTCCTGTCGCCTCTCCCCCACCCCCACCCCGTCCGCCCGCCCGCCCGCAGTGCTCCGTTCTGCCTGCCTGCCTGCCTTCGTTAATGGTTGAATCGGAACAGCTTCGGCTGAGTAAAAGAGGCGAATAGTTATTATTCTCAGCCGAAGCTGCTCCCAAACAACCAGAAACTAAGGCAGGCAGGCAGAATTTTTTTAAATTTTTTTTTCCTGAAATTTCCCCCTTAAAATGAAGATGCGTGTTATACGCCTGTGCGTGTTATACGCCGATAAATACGGTATTTTAAACCTTTCAGATTTTAAAAGTAATTTATGATTTATTTTGTTTCCTCTAGCACGGTATTTAATTGTTATGCCTGTTGATGTTTTAATTTCATATTTGCTTTATTTTATATGTATTAGATCAGCATGTTAATCTATTTCTAATGTGCAAGTCTATTGTATTTTTAAGTGATCCTGCACAGTGCTTAGGAAGCTTATTTCATAAAGGACTTAATAATGTGTCTGTATTTATATATTACATTAAGCCGTAAGCGCTGGCAGAAAGCCTGTATAGTGTAGTGGTTAAGTTTTTGGACCTGGATTGGGGATATGCAGAAAAAAAGTTCTCACTCAAGTAGTGTTCGCTGTATTACATTTGACCAGTCAGTTGGTCTCAACCCAGACGATCTCATTGCTGGTGGAATCCCATGGGTGCTACTGTGAGCTCTCAAGAGAAAAAGCAGGATGTTAAAAACAAATGTATTGATGCAGGCACTCTCTGGCTTTTTCTTCAGAAGAGTCCAGAAATGATTCTTTTTTCTTTTTCTTTCTTATTTTATTACAATTGTCTTCTGCATTGTGGGCAGAACTAGAATCTTATTGCTAAGCTTAACTAGGGACAGCTCATGAACAGGTGATGGTGATAGATTTGGAAGTATTTAAAATTGCTTTGCATTACCCCTTTATAAAATATGTGTAACTGTATGTACACCAGAGAACATGCTCCCTATAATAAAAGTGTATGAGGGATCATTATATTATAACTATATAATCTATATCGTATCTATATATTATATTGTTATCTATATTATAAAATGCTAGTGAGTGGGCACATACCGATTGTTGCAGATGTGTACAAAACAATGTTCTGATATAGTAATGAAAGTCAATAATTGCCCATGGGTAACAAAGCTATTAAAACACTGATACACCAGTGTTTAAATCAGCATGTATTAATTAGGTTGTTTAAATCTGTCGGTAAAATACAAAAGCACTTTATTACATTCTGTGGAAGCATGGAATTTTTAAAATGATATGGGTGATTATTCATTTTAAGCAACAGTGTTAACAGTTGCAATTATTTTTTGGTCTTGCTGCACAAGAAAAAGGGAATCCATTATCTTGTCAGTTTATTTGTGTCAAAACAGCAAAACGAAACCGTTGCACTGTCAGCCTTATAAAATATCAAAGGCAATGTTGTTCTTAAATCAGTAAATATTCACTTCAATCTTTTGTAATGGTGGTAAACATCACTTTAATTACTCAGGATATGTGTTTGGAACAAACCATCTTTTATTTCAGTGAATGGTATTATATTTGTCCTAAGCAGTGAAGCCAATGTTTATGTGCCTTCTGTTCCACAACATTTCTCTGATGTTTATCTTTCTTTAAGGGTAAAGAGCAGGAACATACTTTTGTCTTTAGGCTGGAGCATCCAAAAGCCTGCAAACATTTGTGGAAGTGTGCTGTTGAGCATCATGCTTTCTTCCGCCTCCGTGGACCTGTTCAAAAAGGCTCAAGTCGATCAAGCTTCATTCGGCTGGGGTCCCGATTCAGATACAGGTTAACCATATCTCCCTTTTGCTTGTTTCTCAAATAATAGAAAGCAAATAAATGTGTCCCATTGCCTTTCTGGAATTGAACCTTGAAAGTAGGAGGTCTAACCCCAACCAACTTCAACTTCTTTAAATGAACGTATCATTTAAAAATGTGAACTACAGAAATGGATTAACAGCAAAAGCAATGAACTTGGGAGGAAGTGGTTTTGCTTTTTCTAGGTGTTTTCAAGCAAAACCTGTATAAACATTTCTGAGGGATGCTATAAGGTGTTTTCCTGACTTTACTAGGAATTAATTAGTTAAATTACATTTAAACTAATTAAGATTATTTAACCAATCCCTTGAAACACTGTGATTCTATGCAAAGCCCAGCTATATGCAATTGTTTTTAATTTTGCTACAAAACGTACATTATTTTTGACCTCACTGGCATGGTGGCAATTTTTTTTCCAGCTGGCATATAGACTTGAAAAAAATTGTTTCTACTTTAATGAATAGGATGGGAGTTGTATGCTTGGTGACAAGTCCAAAATACTTCTCCTAGATAATTTTTAAAGTTCTACAATTTCATATACTTATGGAACCTTGTAACTATTCATGGCTGGCTTAAATATACATGCAAAACAATTATGTGTTGTCTGTTGGAGCAACTTAGCTATATAAATCTTATATCTTCTTGTTCATTGTATCCTTCATGTAGTGGGAAAACAGAGTATCAGACTACAAAGACTAATAAAGCCAGAAGATCAGCATCTTTTGAGAGAAGACCTAGTAAACGATATTCAAGGAGGACACTACAAATGAGAGGTAACCAGACTTTTATTTTTAAGGCACATCTTTCTTTGCTCAAGTTACCTCGGTAGAAATTATTACATTTTCTTTCAACTTCTGATCTCCATGACAGTTTTGAAACAGTTTGCTGGGTGGTTGACATGGAAGAAACAAGACATATCCTTCTTTGGATTACTGAACTGTGATCATCATTTTTGAATCATACTAATGACTGTGAACATATATTTTCCTCAGCATTTATTTTAAATAGTACTTCCTTAGTTATTGGTAATATCTGGGTAAAATAATAGATTACACATAGGTAGTCCTCCACTTACAACCAAAATTGGGCTCGGCATCTTAGTTGTTGAGGGACGTGATCATTAAGCAAGACGCCATGGTTCTCTCAACAACTGCAATCCCATTTCTCCCAATTAGGGCTGTTAAGTGACTATGCAGGTTGCAAGCAGATGGAAGACTTGAGAGGTCCTGTACAGTGAAGAATTTCACCTTATGTCTATGCAGGGAGGGGAAATCCTCCCATGCCCTGGAGGAACAAGCCTCAAATCTGGCTAAAATGTTAGTGAATAGCAACATTTTGAGCCAAGAGTATTGCATTTTTGTAGTATGTTATTGATATAGTTTATCTTGATAATAATATAAGTCACGTAGGGTAACCCTGTGATGGATGGAAAGAAACAAACAAAGAGAAAGAAAGGAAGAAAGAAAGAAAGGAAGGAAGGAGAGAGAGAGGGAGGGAGTTTGGGCTTCCCAGGCATGGTAGGGCAGGGAGAGGGCCATCTGGCCCACCCACCATACCAGTTTTACAATGATCAAAAGTGCTTTAGAACAATAAAGCACGTGTTCCAAGGCCATTCTGACAGTGAACAGTTAAGTGACCAATCGTAAGTTCACAACTACCTGTAGTGCTATCCAGTGGTGGGATTCCAAAAAATTTACTACCAGTTCTGTGGGTGTAGCTTGGTGGGTGTGGCATGGCTTGGTGGGTGTAGCTTG